ATATATCCCATCAGCCCAGGCTGTGGCCTCCAATCAGGGCGACTGATTTGATTGCAGGAGCAGCTTGATGTCAGCTGTAGGACATGATTTCTTCAGTAAAGAATTTAGCTCACTGAAACTTTTCGAAAAGACATATTTTTATCTCCATGACGACGGACTTAGCCGTGAAGTCTATTCTCTCTCACTGCTGCCACAGAAGAGTTTCTCTCAGGTTGAACGTACACGTGAATAAAAAGTGTGAAGCTCCACAGCTTCTCATTCCAGCCGTTTACTTTGACTTTTGCACCTGAGCCAAATGAGTAGCATTCTCAGTAATGTCACTGTGTAATGAAACGCTGCTGCATGGTATCAAATGGGAGAAGCAACAACACAAATCCAGGCTCGGTGATGTCTTTATTTAGCTGCTCTTTGAAGTCAGGCATCTATTTTGAGTGAGCATATGTTTGTGGCAGGAGCGAGGCTAATCTGAACATTACGTTCTGCAGCCTCTGAGCTGACAGTCACACACCGGACCTGAGAGCTAATAATCTTCGTCATCCTTAAGATAAATTATCCTGTGTGTGCGTACTGTGTTCCGAGGGAAGGAGGGCCGCGTCTGTCCCTAATGCAACCAAGTACGTTCACATTCTGTGCGTATCGCTCTCTTCACGCATGCGAGTCCTTACATTGAGTAAGCAGCTTAAACCCTGGCTGAATACATTAGCCACGGAGGTGTCTCCCAGGTGTATGTCAACCTCCTCATACACAGTTAAAAGACCTGGGATAATATTTGCCCAGTAAACATCTGTGATGACAAGCCTCATGGTACCACACTGCCCCAGAGGTAAACAGAAGGCGGAGAGGAGGAGTGTTGGGAGGAAGGAAGTGGTAGAAAGGGAAAAGAGGATGGACAGAAGGAGAGGAAGAAGAGTGGTGTCCTGAGGAAACACCGGGCAACGTGATGTCTTTGATATAGAGCAGCTAATTTATAACTCAGCATTTAAACCACTGTATTTTGTTTTACAGAGCATTCATTTTATAAAGCTAAAGTGTAAGTACAATGATTAAAAACAGAGGAGTCAAGCTTCAATTAAAGTTGTCCCTTAGTCATGCTAACAGACGGACGGCTAAACAGATCGATAGATACGTAGCTAGCTAGATAGATGGATAGATGGATGGACAGACGGACGGACGGACAGATAGACAGATTGATAGATAGATATCTGTTGGTGGTTCCTGCCTTCACGTTCGTACAGGGTTCAGCGCTGACCGCAATCATAAGGTTAATGACGGGGGCCTTGAAGGTGACCTGACCGCACAAAAGATTATATATGTGGTCTTTATTAAAGCTGTCAGCGGTGATGTACACTCTGGGGCCCTGTTCTTTTTACAGCAGTCAGATTCCAAGGTTTCTCCGCACTCCATGATAAGGATGATGGAGGTTAGACTTGAATTTTCCTATTTGTGCAGGAAACAAGGCAGAGAGTGTTGATGTTTGAACAGTAGGAGGCTAAAGAGCCCTATGGGAGTTGTATTTATACAATGTATATTATTGGCTAATACATTAATCTGATCCACCCTCACCTAAAGTTAGCCTGTATTTAGAGCATTAGGCAGAGGGCAGAGGTGAGTGACTGCAATAAATAATATCTTTAATACATAAGGGCCTCATGGCCATAAAAAAGTGTAGAAATGGTTCTGGTCCCATTCTTCATGAGACTCTTTTTTATTTAAATTTGTATTTTACAATACTACATTTCTTAATTAGTTAATTAGTCACAAATAAACCACATGTTTTGTAATCATTATTAAAAATATGATTAATCACGATCAATCATTTATTTAGATATATGTTTATATTTGTACTATATGTAATACATGGAGAAAGTGTGTGTTTTCTTTTTAGCTCATGCTCTGTTAGACAGTGGGCAGATTCCCAACACTAACATTTCCCTGGGTAACTTTTCTTAAACCAATATTTCAGTATTTTTTAAGATGAGTGAACGTTTAGTGTTTAACAACTCGATAAGTTGTAAAAAATGTCATTTCGTTCAGCAAACTGTGGTGCGGTCTGTGCATCGTCACTCAGTAAATAGTCTTTTATTAATTGGTTGTTTTACTAAACATTCTACAACAAGCATCATAAAAGTCTATTTCTAATTTCTCAGATATCCTTTGAAATAACTTTTTGCTACAGAATATTTCAACAGCTTCCCCACAGTTATCAGCTCTGCAGACACTTTTTCAATTGTTTCCTGTAGAATTAAATCAGACTTTGTTACAGGCACCGTTAACTTATCTACTTTGTAGCACATTCTCCAGGTAACTGAACTGGTTTGGTGTCAAGAAGACTTTTCACCTGTCGTGCACAAGGCACCTTCATTTCTAACTGACTGCTGGAAAATTCAATAAACTGTACATATCCTGCCAAAGGATCAGGGCTTGGTTCTTTCTGGGCGTCCAAACATTTAACTGTGAGATACTGTGCTTATTTAATGAACTAGGAATCTAGTTTGTAATGATCCTTCCTTTGTTATAACTCTGAGATGGAAATAGATTGTGTAATTCACTCTAACAAAATCTCAATAAAAATCCAAGTTAAAAAAAAGAAACAGAACCTTGTCTTTGAGGTAGAATATTTCTTCTTTAAAAAGCCCTCCCTCTGTGCTGTTCCACGGAAAAAGATTTCCCCGTGGTGAAAACCTGCTCCTCAGGAGCTATTGGCTTCACCTGTGTTTTACCACAGCTGCGGCCCTGCTCATTGGGTGGTTGGGTGTGTTTGGGAGTGTTGTCAACGGAAGCTGGTACCCTGGGTTTTTGTTGTGTTTTGAGGGGTTTTTGTTTTTTCCTGTCATTGTGATACAGTTTGTGTTTATTTTTGTTGGGATGTAGTTGTTTTAAACTGGTGACTTAGTGCTAAAATAATCCCTAGTTCTGTGTCACTGACAGGAAGCAGTCACAGTATATATAATCATTCACTACATCATTGTCCTGATCCTTGTCACTACTGCTTAAACGTGGGAAATGCATGGTTCCGTCACCAGAGGACAGATAAATACTGTCTCTTGGATGAATTGACCAAAACAGTTTGTTTGGCACCATATCTGGACCGCAGTCCATCTATTCAGGACCACTGCACTAATGTACCTTTTCCAACCCGATAAAAAAAAAGTTATACTTTTGGTTTGATGCTTTACTTCCAGGCCACTGCCCCCTGTGTCTGTAAGCAGTATTTTCTCCAGCAGGTCACAGTAATTGACCGGAACCTTCAGTACAAGGATCCTGTTTCAAATGAAGGTTGAGTCAAGTTAAAGTGAACACGTGTTTTGCCAGCTTGATGTGCACCAGCTGCACCTGAATCATCCATCCTCACGTTTAAGGAATTGCCAAATATGATTTGAGCTCATTATTCCGGCCTTTTTCATGGGTAACAATCCAGCTGCTGGTGTCGACTGAAAATATTTCTTCTTGGAAACCTTTATGTCTGCTGCTGAAGGCCAGAGAACAATGTTGTGCTTGTGTCTTTTTGTCCTCTTCTGTCACGTGTCCCTCCTCTTCCTAAACCTCGGGCCCAGCCCGTCCACTGAGGAGTCATCCCCTGGAAAGGCATGACAGAGCCCCAGTGTTTGGAAATGGCTGTGCTGCCAGCGATAAGCAGTTCAAAGAAGAGATTGCATTAATGTAATTGGCTGCCAGCAGCACACTGGCCTCGTCGTCTCATACCCACATGTGGTAACATGCACTCACCACGCGGATTATTGGAGGGGGAGCGTGCGAGACGAGAGAGGATGAGGACGAGAGACTGGGAGAAGTGAGATGAAGGGAAGGACAGATAGTTTGAGGGGAGAAGGAGGAGGAGTCACAGTCCTCATTGTGTCGCTCATTAAGCCTTGGGAGGCTCAGGGAGGCAGAGGGAGGAGGAAGGAGGCGGCACTGTTAAATGTCAGGTCTGAACGGGACACGTCTGACCTCCATGCAGTCTACACACAAACACAGTCCAGATCTTCTGCCAAAAAAAAACTTCCTCATCACACTCTTAAAGTCTCTCTCTGCCAATCACTTTGTTTTGCTCCATTTTCCTTCCATTCCACCCAAATTACTGGTGTCATTGCAAATTGAATTGCTACAACCAGATAGGAGCGTTTGCCCAACAGTCCAACTGCTGCCGAGTGCAGTGGTTGTAATAAAGTCTATTTTCTCCAGCTGATTTCCAAGTCTGTGTGATGACTCAGAGGAGATGCTGCGTGGTTTCCTCCACTCCTATGAAATGTTTTCACCCAGGAGTCTGCTGAACTTTTAAGACTTTATATTGTCTCCTCATTTTTAAGTTTTTTTTTTCCTGTAATTCTTCTTACCTCAATTTTCTTTTTGATTTTTCTATTTTTGCGTTTGCTACAATGGTGCTCTGGAAATTGTCTCTGTCCTCTTGTCTTCTGTCGTGTCCTGCAGGAGGGTCTTGCATTACATGATTGCAACAGGATGTTGATCATCT